GAAATTTTTATTAAAATCGCAGTATATGTTGATTTTTTCTGCTGTTTAATCGCGAGTCTTAAAATGACCGTTTCTAGCCAAAAAGCGCTACCTAAAACTACTTCGTTGAACATTTTGCGAGATTTTTCAGACACTCGAGTCTGAAAACTCGGAAATTTTCTTTCAAATCGGACTAGATTGCTCGGAAATGAGAAATTTTCCTTGAAATTGCATTAATCCAAATTTTTTCCTGCCGTTTAAACGCGAGTCTAAAAATTAAACTTTCCAGCCAAAAACGAACTTTTCTGACTCAATTTGTAACTGCTGCTATTCTGGGGCAATTACGCAGGTGAGAATTTTGCGAAATTTACTGCACTGGAGTCTGAGAACTGAGAAATTTTAATTCAAATCGTGCTGGATTCTGATTTTTTCCTACTGTTTAAACGCAAGTCTATAAATATGAACGATTTCAGCTGAAACGCGCTTTCTTGAAAAATTCGTAACTAAAGGTCCTAGGCAAGTCCGAACTTGAAAGTTTCGCAATACATATAAGACAGTTGAAGCTCGGAATTGAGAAATTTCCATTGAAATCGAATTAGATGCAAATTTTTTCCTGTTGCTTAAACACAAGTCTAAAAATGACCTATTCGAGTTAAAGCGCACTCTCCTTTAAAATCATATGTTTTAATATCGGTCCAGAACGGCTTGAAAATTTAGCAAGATTTATTGAACACTCGGGTCTGAGAATTGAGAAATCTTTATTTAAATCGCAATTGAATCTGATTTTTCCTGCTATTTAAACGCGAGTCTAAAGTATAAAAATTAACAAATTCGGCCTAAAACGCGCTTTTTTTAAATTAACGTAACTACAGACCTGGGACAAGAATGCACTTGAAACTTTCGCAAGGTGTTTGGGACAGTTGAAGCTCGGAATTAAGAAATTTTCATTTGAAATCGCATTAGATGCTGATTTTCTCCAGATGCTTAAACACGGGTCTAAACATCAACATTTGGCTCTTTGGCCAGTCATCTTCTGATAGGTTTCCGGCTAACATCGCTGTGGCCAATGATGATAGGTATAAATTTGAGACAAACCCTAGGATGGTTCAGATTAGCCTGGGCAGGATTTGGAAAAATAAAATAAGGAAAACCCAAGGAGCCATGGAGCGATCAATGTTGATCGTCCTGCTCTAAAGCCAATTGTTCTTCCGATACAAAAGGGCGAAATTTTTGATTCATTTTGCTTCCCTTTTTATGTACTAAATTTTGGCATGGAATCGTGCACACTAAAATAGGCTTATCAGAAAAGACTAGAGTCGCGTGTTGTAGCTCAAACACTCTGGATAATGTAGAAGTTGCACAGAAGGTAAAATATCTAACCTAGAAGCAATGAGTCGCAAGCATAAGGAAAGGGACATAATTATAACAATCAAAGAAGTTTGGAAAGGACAGGAAAGCCATGGGTCAAAGTCCACGCAAAAGTTATTGATGTGGTTGGAATAACCTCGATTCATGCAGATCAGCGGTCGCAAAGGTTAAATTCTCCGTGATGGTTTCCAATCTTCAGGGTGGAGATGCACCTAAAGAAAAACAATGCCCTGTAAAACCTTATGGCAGAAAATCTGAATCAGGGCCATCAGCACCATTTAGAAAACTTGACACCAACAGATGCCACAAGAAATTAAATTCATGGTTCTTAAACAACTTCCTTCCGATGGGTCCTTAAGTCCTTAAGGTTTTCCAGTATTACATACATTCATAGTTCCTGCATGCGATTTCAGTTGAAGCATCGTGACTCTGTTTGAGCAGGGTGTTAAATTTAAAATTGAACCTGTACATATTTTAATAAGTTTTTTTGCCTTTGGTCATTCTTTGTGGAATAACAGAAGTTGTAGTTAGTAGTTGCACATCTGCCACTGCCTGGCCATCTGGCTTTACTAACTCCTAAAAATCCACACTTGGTCTCAACATTCCCTTCACAATGTCCCGTTTTTCTGGTGCAAATACAGTTCTTGCGTTCCACGTACGGATCTTCATATTGTTTCCTGATGCTTTTATCAACTTGGCCGTCACTGTTCCGCCGGAGATCCAATTGGGAAGCCATTTCCATGCTTGCTGTGTGCTTTTGTGCAAAGGAGACCTTTGCAGTCCTTAATGCAGTGGGTTCTTTCTTCTTACCTTCTGTATTCACATGTACAAAGGAAGGAAAATCCTTTCCACGTTCCGATGACTTCAGCACCGATTATTCGTTCGTAGGCCCGTTGACCAACTGCTAGTCGCCGTCTTCCCAATTCTAGTTTCCATCGCTCTCTGCCTGTGGCGTGTTCATGATCTAAACCAAGGGCTTCCATTGCTGCTCTCACGCCCCCATTCCATGATCCTCTGGGTGTTTCTCTCTGGGCCCTCCGTCCTGGTGGGTCCCATATTAGCATTTTTAGGGACATTCTTTGATGACCAAATTATGTTCTCTTCAATTTTTTCTAGAACTGTCTCTTGTGCATCTGCTCTTTGTCTCATGTCCTCATTTCTGACTCTTCGCAATTTAAACATTTTTTCATTGCGCCGCAGGTAGTCCATTTCAGTGTCCCCAATTCACTTCCGTGGGAGAAACCAGTCTCCACCATTGTCCTTCCATGCGTTTGCCACCTCTTTTGCAGTGTTTTACTTCTACCACACTGAACCTGAGCAATAAATGTTCTATCATCACTTGCAATATAGCGTTTTCATGGATTCTTGCTTTGGCTTGTTTGAACCTAAGGAACCCCTTTAACCGCAACTGTTGGAGCTCAAAGCGGACGATGATTATTTAAGTGTGACTGAAACTTGTGAACTCAAAACCGATGATAAAATGCAAAGTCAGGCAAAAGGCGAAATCATTTGATCAGAGAAGCGATGTGTCGAGCAGAGCCTTTCAGAAGTTCTCGGAGAATTGCACAATAACTATTACTTACTACATCCGTACTATGTGTGTAAGATGCACAGGACACATTAAACCTCTGGCCTACTGAACACCAGTACGAATTGAACACGAGTTAATTAACCGAGTGCGAGAAGCTGCTCGAAGTGGGAACCCATTGATGTTGCGAAGAGGGCACAATAACACACGGACCCAAAAGTCTTTGGAGTTAAACGGGCGGAACGTCGGGCGAGCTTCATTTTCACCGCGCAAGCATCCGTCACCCTAACCTATTTAGAGTGTATCTAGGGTTACTTGAGCTTTTACTGTTTAAGAAGTAACATGTATTGTGTACGCCATGTCAATGAGACATTGAAAAACATCGTTGTCGACCTTCTGATCAATTTTTTTTGCAAATATTTCAGTTTCAATGACGTCCATTTTCAATCACCCCGTACATTCAATTATTGCCCTATTGACACAACGGTTGTGGTTAAGAGGGCACAAAAGATTCATTACGGGGTGGGTTTAAACGCAAATACACACAATAAAACAGTAATTATTGCTATCGCCTTAATTTCCTACAACATAGAAATTGGTCTCATCCTTTAATTTGAATTCCCGTCCGGGAACCGGCGGGATAACATTGAACAATGGCGTCCCTAATTAAATTAATTGCGGCCGGGACATCCGCAGCCATTTCAAGGGTTGGTTTGTTCGAAATTCACAAACATGTGATTGATTCCGGTATTCATTGGTTGAAAGTCGCGTAATGAGAACCAGGTCATACACATCGACAGTGCAGACGGTCCATTCGCCATAACGAACTTTCCAGTGCAAGTAATTGTTGTAGTTGTTGTGCGTAAAATTTCCCAATTAGGGATTAGCCACATCAGTTTTTCGAAACTTTTGCTTCGAGTGTATGCAAGAAGTGGAGGAACTTTGAATTGTGGTGGAACACATTTTCTTGCTGGCGAAGCTCGAAAGCTTACGCTGGTCTGATCAGTGTAACTTTTCGTGCAAAGCCCATGTGAGGGTGCAGGCGGCTAGTGCTTGCGAAACGTCGGACGGAAATTTTTAGCCCTGGTGGCTTAAACGCCCAAGAAACTTACCGGTGGTTATGAACAAGTTCCTTGATCGATTGTTACTCAGTATCACGTTTTCTGGGGTAAAATTGAGCATTTCTGAAAATTAATATCTGGGGTTTCAAGATAGTTTTGTTCATCTGGTCAACAGCAGGATCGATAATCATCAAATTGGTTAACAGAGTGATCAATTTGATTCAGAACTCGTCATTTTGCACTCGAAACTCATAGCTATTTGAAGAGTTTTTGGGTTGTTAAGCCATACTTTTTCCCCCGATTTATTGGTCAATAAATTGGGAAAATTATTGAAGGCATTTTTCATGCCACATGAGTCAAGAGCAAAATTCTTTGCTTATGATTCCAGAGAAGTTCCGGATTTTCTTTATTAATTTGCTAAACTAAATAAAGGCGAAACACAATAAGTAGGAAAAATAACCTAACCCCTAATTCATTGTCATTTTTTTTCGAGAAACGCTGGTAACATCGTGATTGCACAGTTGGCAAGCAAAAAATAACCAGGAAATTTTTACAATAGCAATAATTTCCAACGGGCTCGAAGTTGGCAGTAAATTGTGCAATTTATCGATTACTGCTACACGCTCAATTGATTTTGGGTCTGCAAATGTGTCAACGTTAGCTTGTTTCACAAGTTCCTTTATTGCAGTTCAACACGACCAGCAATTAAGTCAGCGGCTCGTTCTCCAGATTTGCAAAAGATTGTGTCTAAAGGGCAAGAATTTATTTGTGCCTCCTCATTATTCCTATCGTTGTTGAGGAAATTGGGGCAAGCATTTGTGAATTTCGTCAAAATGAGTAATGCTATCTGCTTGATATTTGGCTGGAGCCAAGTTAGTTCCATCATATTCTATTTGAACTCCAATTGAAATAAAAAAAATCGTCAGGAAAAGAATGTATATTTTGTTCTTTGTGAAAATGGAAGCGGACTTATTCTTAATTTTTCAATCGGTGGAAAAAATTGATAATTGGAAAATTTACTTACACTGCTAGAAGCACCAATTTAATTTTCATTTCTTTCGTAGCTGCTAGTGAGACGACGCTTGTTCCTCATGTTCTGGTCTTGATGTGCAAGTCCTGTCGCTGCCAATCAATTAAAAATGTTCGAATTGGTCACAAACCGTAAACATTTTACAACCCAATTTATGAAGCAGGATGCGGGACGACTGAAAAATTCTTTCACGAGGTTTTTTGTTGGCAAATCCTACCGACTGCGCCACTTAGTGACTCGCCAATCTCTTCCTAGAAATATGACTTAAAATAATTTAATTTCAATTGAGCTGAATTTTCGCTTAGATGCGACTGGATACGACTCATATTTGCTATTTAATTGTCAGAATATACCGAGTGTCCCGCGATTAAAAAAGCACTGCCAGAAGACCATCCTACCCAAGTTTTATTGAGAATAAATGTCAATTGATGGTCAAAGTTCTTAAAATTTTTTTTTGGTCGCTGGAGTTTACTGATTTTTTTTCAGTACTAAGCCTTTTTGGACATTTTTGGGCTCTTGGTAAAATGTTATGGCATTTATAGTTTTTCCACAAAAAATGAATTCTGTGTCCTTTGTTAATTAAACATTTCAGCCTGTAAATGTAAAATATTTTTTTTTTAAATTGTAAAAACTTGTAAAAGCTACCGTCTGCGTCCATCCACTGGCTTCACCTAAACTAGTCATTTGCCGTGGAAACCCAGGAAGACTACAATGAAGATTTAATGGGAATTTGAAACCCTCACTTTTCCGCTCTAGTGAGATAATCAGCATCTTACCAAGGTTAGATAGGTGCGAAAAAGTAGGCTTTTTCCCAACAATTCGAAGCTTATTTTTTTTATTGATGCCGATTACAGATGCCGAAAATACAGACGCATTTATGTAGGAAATGTTTAAATTTGAAACATCAACCTAGGCGCGCCCAGAACGTGTATAGTTTTTGCGCGATTTTAAATCAGGGAAAATTAGAAGAAACTGAAGACTTTTGGCACTGAAATGCTTGTTAGTTAGCCAGAACCTTATCAAAAAACGAAGCTGCAGACGCATTCATGCGGAAAATCGTCGAATTAGACGCACCAAATGTTCTTCCAGAGTTTAATCGATTTTTCCGGAAAAATCATAATCCGAAGACGCTTGTTGCTTAGATTTGAGTTCGACAGATTAAAATACATAACCAACATTGTTTGTGAAAAACATATATATAAAAAAAAAATTGTGCGGCCCACAGAAAACACACTATTTAGACGGCCGGCCGGTGGGCGGCTGTGCGCATGCGCGGGCGAACTGCAAGTGAACTCAGTTGCTTCATAGCACGGATTTTAATGAAATTCGCTGATAATTTAATTCTATTTAAGACTAAAGTTCATTCGTTTTGGACAAATGGTGACTTCTTGAGTGTCTTGGTATAAAACTGAAAACACTTTTACATTTCAGGCTGTAAATGTAAAATGTAATAAAAAAAATTGTGAAAACTACCGTCTGCGTCCATCTATTGGCTTCACCTAAACTAGCCATTTGCCGTGGAAACCCAGAAAGGCTACAATGAAGATTTTATGGGATTTTGAAACCTTCATTTTTCCGCTCTATTGAGATAATCAGTATCGTACCAAGGGTAGATGGGCGCGTAAAATTGGGAATTTTTCCCAACAAATCCAAGCTTAATTCGAAAATATACGTGCTTATTTTTTTATTTCTAAAAAACGGTATAATGCGAGGGATTTTGGTTTTCAAATCCATTTTTTTCAACCCGAAAGTTACCCCAAATGCCGGAAATACGGACGCATTTATGCAGGAAAGGTTTGAGTTTGAAACAACTAAAAACGCGCGCCCAGAACGTGAATAGTTTTTTCGCGATTTTAAGTCCGGGAAAATTAGAAGAAACTACAGACTTTTGGCGCTCAAATGCCTGTTTAGGCAGCCAGAAGCTTGTCCAAATAACGTAGCTACATACGCATTTATGCGGAAAATTGTCGAATTTGAAGCACCTTTTCCGGAAAAATGATAATCCGAAAACGCTTGTTGCTTAAATTTGAGTTGGACCGATTAAAATATATAACCAACATTGTTTGCGAAAAATATTCACTTGCTATAAAGCTATGACTGATTTTGTAGCAAAAAGTGTAAAATGCCCTATTTCCTGATTATTTTTCGCTCTTACTTATATTTTTCCCTTGTTCCACATCTCGTCAAGTATACTCGCTCAAATTTCATCCAAATCAGTTGGGCCCAATTTACGAACAAATTTTTTTGCGCTGTGCGGCCCGCAGACTACACACTATTACATTCAAAATTCCAGCCTAATGGAACTGGCGGGCGGCTGTGAGTGTGAGTGAACTCAGTTGCGTCATCAAAACATGAGTTTTACATAAGAGTGAATTCACAGCGAGTTTTATGGAGTTTTTGAAGATCTTTGATCATCAGTAGCAGAGGAGCCAGACATTTTTCCTCAGTAAATGTTTGGCCCCAAGCGTTGCTAGTATCTTTTTTTTTTCGTGCTTTCGACAGGCTTTTCTTCTGGGAATTTATTGGGAAAGCTTCCAAAGCAGTTTGAAGGGTGCATCTTCTGTATTATTAGGTCCAGGAGCTCAATACTCCAAATTTACATGTTATTTTGAAGAGGGTTGAAGGTTTGCATGTTATAAATTTTCGACCATTTCAATGTCTTTTCCTGACTGCCCTCCGTAATTGGAATCTTCAAAAAATGGTCAAGATGGGAGAGCGAATTTGGGATTGCTTCTATTTCAACCTATTTTACTGTCTCTAAGGTCGTTAGTTAAGACACTGCAGCAGAATCTCTTTTTCTCCTTATCTCGGATACTCCTTCAGTATGACGGTGTGCAACTCGGCAGTCCATAACAGAAGCTTTTCAACTTTATGTGCGGAAAATTCGGGTCAATTGTCTGCGTGTTCCTCTTTTAATTGTGAAAAACTTTGCAAACTTACGGTCTGGGAGAATTTGTCCTCATTTGGTGCGGGCAAGCTAGTTTGGATTGACGGAATCTTGCAGAAAATTACATATTTAAACATCTGCAAGATCAGCTTGTCTAAAGTGCGTTTAAAATGGGAATATGGAACTGCTTTCAACTTTAGCAAGACAATTTTAGGCCAAAGGATCGTGCGAGGAATGGAGGCTTTTGACTGTCCAAAAGTAATTAAAACACCTGCCTATTCGCCGGATTGTACGCCTACAGAAAACTCAGGCTCTGGAACCAAAATTCGACAGCATAAAATTACTAATAAATTCCAGTTGAAACAGATTTTAATGGAAGAGCCGGGCAAAACTGACAAAAACTTATATTTTCCCTGGCCAAACGTCTAAGATCTGTTAAGAACAAAAATGCAGCCACACTAATTAGCCAACGGTAATAAATCCGAATATTTTTACGGCGCAATACAAAAGCATTTATGCCTTTTCCATTGGGTTGCTTTGTTAATATTCACTAAATTTAATAAATTAATAACAAACATTTTAACTAAGCGCCAGCTTCTCACAGCAGTGAAATTCTCTTTCGGTTCTTACATCAGTAAAGTTTTGGGTTTTTTTGGTAGTCGTGGAAGAGAATATCTGATCTCTTGCACATCGGCCCAGCAACCCGAAATACTAATTGTTTCTATCATTGGTTTCAATCATAATGCTTTTTCAAATGAAACTAGGCGTAGTTATTCTTAAAATGTTTGCAAAGTTTCCTCTTTCGGGCGGCGCTTGTTCCAGATTCCTGGTTTCGGTTCCGGGATTCTCCCGGCAAACCGGCTTAAATTAATTAACTGTCAGCGAAACGATGAAGTATTCGACATCGATGGTTGCGGTTTTTGAATTCACGGCAGTCCGGATACATTTCAGCTGCTTGATAAAGCTGATTAGTTGTTGGAATGTGCAGTCGAACGCCTTATGCTAGTCACCATAAATGCCACTTGACTTCACTGTGAACATGGCCACAATGTGCACCAATTTACAGCTAAGTGGATGAGTAGCTGCAACTGATTGGCAGACAAAGCTCTTGAACAGCTTGTGCATATTTCTTATTAAGCCGTTCTCAAAGGGTGAGCGTTTTGAGGGCTTTATCAAGAGCAGGCTATGGGATGCCGTTGAGTAGAACCTGCCGGCAAGAAAATTGGCAAAACGCTATCAGGATAAGGGAAATGTTTATGGATTAATTGACGTAGGCAATCAAGAACTATCGCTTTGCTCGGAAGCGATTTTGAATGAACAGATTGTTACTAGTGCTCGATTTTCGCCACGACAGTCATTCGTCTAGTTAGGAAGCGACAGCGAATAGGCCATTTTGAGGCAATAAATAAAGCTTTTTTGAGGTTTTTTGATGAAGTCCACCCGCAGGACAAAGTGTCCGCACAAATGAGTTCGAATATATCGACGCATGTTATGACGTTGTGAATTTGTCTTAGTTTGAGAGCAAGATCGGGGATTTTGATTTGGTTTAAAGTCTAAAGCCTCCGAAAGATCGACAAATTTTCCAAAGGGAGAGCAAACTGACTGAAATCAGTGGAATGCCCTTTAATGTTCAGAGTTGCACGTTTGAAGATTCGTTTTGTTTCAGTCTTTCAAAGTTCACGATATACTTGGATGTCGGTCAAATTTTGTCTAAAAATTCATTTGAATTGTGTGTCTCTTTCAAGTTGCTCATTATACCGGTTGTGAAGTTATACGCCTTAAGGCGCCAAGCTGCACGTTTGGAGATGTATTTTATTTCCCTCTTGTTTGGATGCTTCGAAAAATTCTTGCCAGGCCTGAGCGTTAGTGAAATTTTAACAAAATTTACTCTGAATATTCGTTCAAAAAATGCGTCTTTTTCATTCGGTTTGGTTTACTCGGTGTGAAATTATGCGTCTTAAGACGCCAAGGTGCAAAAGTTTGGAGATYTGTTTTATGTCGCTCTGAAGTTTGAATTCTTCGAAACATTCTTGGCGGGGTTGAGGGTTAGKGACATTTTGACAAAATGTACCTCAAATATTCGTTCAAAAAATSCGCCTTTCATTCGGCTAATTTTACTCGTTKTGAAGTTATGCGCCTTAAKGCGCCCAGTTGCAAGTTTGGAGATTTG